CTCCATTAGTATAAATCCATTTGTTAAGAATCTGTGTATCTATCATGTATATCTACCATTTACTATGATAATAATTACTAATAATTAAATTACTACCGATTAATATGATATCTGTTATAATAATAATAATAATAATAATAATAATAATAATATAATAATAATAATTTAATTCACCTTCGTTTATTTCCACGGAAGTGTGAATGACAAATTAATAATAATAATAATAATAATAATAATAATAATAATAATAATAATAATAATAATAATAATAATAATAATAATAACAGGTTATTAATGAAAAGTACATGATTATAGTAAAAATTATTTGTATAGGTATATATGCTACTAATCATACGCGTAAAATAAAGTATTGAACCATATTCCCAGTGGTCTGAAGGAGTAACGCGAGTCAGCAATGTTTAGTCTGTAGAGCGGTGAGTAGTCTAGGCAGGACTCTGGCGCAGGGTAGCATCAACATCCTGGAAATTTCAACACTACACAGGTTAAGGATTTTAACAAACTCATAATCTTTAAGTATATTCGAAACGCTGCACGTAATTAATAACTTATATAAAATATGAAAATATGAAAACTATCTACTAAGTAACTACTGTAATCTGATCCTCTATTTTTGTATAAATAAAATATTATTATTATTACTTAAACTTTCAGAGTTTTACTAAACAGACACAAATGTCTGGTAATTGCTATACATTAATAATGTATATAGACTGTCTGCATAAAATTTCATTACAACTTATATTTTGCCTCACTTATATCTTTGTATCATATTCTACAATTCTTAGGATTTTAATTTTAGATCTCAACATAATTATCGACACACTTTGTTGATACACTTTATCGCTGCTTAAGCCTTCCAACTTATTCTTAATCTCAGTCTTTATTGCATGCAAAGCGAAAAAGTTGATCTTGAAGTCGACCTACTATCTCATATTTGTTATAACCAGCACATTGAAAATCAACTTTGCAGATATTACGCGGCCAACCGTGTAAAAAAAATATCTATATCTATAATAATGTGCGTCTGTCTATTCGAGGTAACCACACACAACTTTCCATTTTGAACTGTGATTGTATGATGAGTGTCATAGGGGGATTGGGGGTCAAATCCCGCACCCGTCTTATAGACTGGTGTGGGAGGGCCACGCCAAGGTCGGTGATTCATTGTTACTTGAGCATGTTTTACCCAATGGTGAAGAGAATGGGATATATAAAGGGAGAGAGAATAGAAGAAAGGAAACAAGAGAGGGAGAATGTGAGGTAAGAAATAGGAATTAAGGCGAAAATTACCAGTTGTAATAATGCTGTTCTGCTTAACTCCACAGCAGAAAGATAATAGTACTTTGAGAGATAATAGTACTTGGCCTAGTATGTAAGGCCCAATTTGCCTAACAAAAAGAGTGTTTTAGAGATTTTCAGATATTTTTTCCAAACTAGTTTATTCCAATGAATATTATTATATTATATTAAGAACATGAATAATGTAGTTATATTAGGTTAAGTTAGTAAGAAAACAAGTCATATGTAATGCAATGGAAAGCTTAATCATTCCTGAAGAACATTTTTTAAATATATTTCAGGAAAATTCGGTTTGTTAGGCAACTTGGCCTATTAAGTATAACATATATATTATATATGTATACATACATATATGCATTTATATATATATATATATATATATATATATATATATATATATATATATATATATATATATATATATATATATATATATATATATACTGTATATCTTTTATTATGGGACATGTCATACCTTTACAATAACAAATTAGTTAAAGTTAAGTTATTGTAATATATATTTATATTTATATATTTTTATTATGGGACATATCATATCCTTACATTTTTACATTAACAAATAATGTTAAATATAAAATTTATATAAATCAAATAGAATGTCTATTTGTCTGTCAAAGAATGGAGGCTAAATTCTTTGGAGTAGCATCAAAACACTTTGTATGGTGATTTGTGATTAATCGGAGTGTCATAGGAGGGTTCAGCTGTCGACCACTCGTGTTTAGCTTAATCTGAAATTGTGGTTTTGTTTTACAGAGGTTTTTTTTATAGTTTCAACTGTCCTTAATGAAGCATATTCTGAGAGAGAGAGAGAGAGAGAGAGAGAGAGAGAGAGAGAGAGAGAGAGAGAGAGAGAGAGAGAGAGAGAGAGAGAGAGAGAGAGAGAGAGAGAGAGGGAGAGACAAATGGGGCAAGAGAGGAGAGGAAGGGAGACTGAAAAGGGGGGGGGGGAGGGTGAGAAAAGGATGAGTGTGAAAGAAGTGAGAACGGGGGAGAGGGGGAGAGAGACCCAGGCACCGTCGGGTACTGTTAAGACCTGGTTGGTCTATATGTTATAAACAAGCCATTTGGGGCAACATATACAAGTGTGGGAACCGATCTTGTCCGGTTTTTTTTTTTGGTGGTGGTGCTGCCGGTGCCACGATTATATGTATAACTAAACTATTGGCTGTTTTAGACTTTTGGATGTATTAAGTTATATTTTAGTAGATAACCAGAAGTATGTTGAAGTTATGTGATATTTAAGTTTTATTTGCCAAAGTGGTCTGGAAGCACCGGACGGTTACTGTACGAGTTTGTTTAGGTTAAACGCTGCCTTGAGTGAAGAGAAGAGAACTATCAAGAAGGCACCAAGCCATTACGATTATATAGCACTTGGAAGGGATCAGGATAAGGATATGGGACAGGACGGGGGAAAGGAATGGTGCCTAACCACTTGGACGGTCGAGGAGTGAACTCCGACCTGCATGAAGCAAGACCGTCGCTCTACAGTCCATCGCAAATGGTTGGGCAGTGGGCGACAGGGAGTTAATTGGTCTGTGTCTAGGCTGGATTAAGGTGTAGCGTTCCCATGCTTTACATTTACAATATTAGTTAAGTCCTGTTCTTTCATACGTGCCACCAGGTTCCATCATTATTTGTAGTATTATATAGCATGCAACTCAAGGGTCACTTGAGACCATAAGAGTGCCCCATGAGAGATATAGAGGGAGTGTTAAACTAGTGTTTGATACAGCTTTAATGGATTTCTTTGTGACTTATTGTTGCTGATCTTTGTTAGTAGTGGGGTGGGGTTTAGTGAAATAAATTGTTAACTATTTGACCAGCTTCACTTATCCAGCGGGGCCTGACTAGAACTCCATCAATTTCCTGGATAACAGGGTTTGTAAATTAATTGTGATGAATTGCTGGGGGCCGGGCCGGTTCGGGCAGGTTTTAGCCTCTTCTCCACAAGTTACCCTGGGAGAGCCCTACCACAATTTTAGTGTGAACATTTATGTGAGTACCACAACTATTAATCTTATACTGAATATTCATACTAAATAATCTCACCCAGTGTAACAGGCAGCACATCAAGTAGCATCATGTACTTCGAGTAAACAATGTATAACTGTAATATATGTATATAATATGTACTTATGCATCACATTTGTTAAATAATTCTTATTTCTGATAATGTAACATATCCAAAATGTAAATAAGAGGTGCTGCAAGTCAAGCAGCAATGGCGTAGTTAGTCCCAACACGTGCTCCCCCTTAACTAGTTGCCATAAAATGAGCCGCATAACTCATGGCAACTACCGCACCTTCCATCATAACGAAGCGGAACATCGAGGTCATGGGAGTTTTTCGTGAATGTCCCAAGGATAAGAATAGCCTTGAGAGAGGGCAGTGACGTAGGTGTGTCTGGTTTAGTCTGGTGAGAGCATTATCTTATGACTTGACCCAGTCTTGCCACGCCGGCCACACTCAACTGACAGCCTTCCCTTCTTGGCTACCACAATACTATTCAGTAAATAATAATAATAATAATAATAATAATAATAATAATAATAATAATAATAATAATAATAATAATAATAATGATAATGATAATAAATTTTCTGAGTTTCCTCATGAGCATATCAGGCTATGAAATATTTAGGGTAAATACAGTTTTTAAATATGGAACATTCTGCCAAATGAAATTAAATGTTTGACAATATTCTGTAACATATATATATATATATATATATATATATATATATATATATATATATATATATATATATATATATATATATATATATATATATATATATATATATATATATATATATATATATATATATATATATACAACAGAATACTAAGGAACATTCCACTGGTTGCTTGCTAATACCACACAAGACATATTCATCAGTATGATGTTTTCACTGCACTACACATATAATTTATTTAAACTGTGCAAGCCATTTTCAGATTTATAAATTATCTGAATGACTTCTCGTCATGGTGAGCTTTATTAGCTCAGAAGCAATATATATAGTTTGACTTCATGTTACTTCAGTCTGTGATAGCTTTTCGTATTTAAACCATTCAGAAATGATATCTCCAAATATTGTACGCACCTTCTATTAAAGGGACTAAAGTCAAGCTAATATATATTTAAAAGTGGGCTTTTTCTAAATAATTTTCAACAAGTTATGGTTTAAAAGACGAATTCACGATGACAAATGTTGTTCTGGAACTATAATTTTTTCAGTTTCTCTCAACATAATCAAACGTTATATAAAATAACAAAATAACTGAATTATTATAAAAGTCACCTAATTCTTATTTTTTATTTGTCTTTGTATCCATAATAATCATTAAATGATAATCTTTTCTCACGAGCGTTACACAAGTCGTCATTAAGTGCTTCCTGGTGGTGGGAACCGCGCGGCACAACACGGGTGCTTCAACTATCTCCACCTCACACCCATTACATATTATAGATGCCAGTCTTGCTATATGCTCTGAAATATTTTGTTTCTTTAGAAAACCCACATAATACTAGTCCTACCTTGAGGTTGGCTTCCTAGTTTGGCCAACCAGTCTGTTGGACGCCACTGCCCGCAGTCTGACGTGTACTCAGGCACACTTTGGAGGTGTTTATCAAATTCCCGGTACCGTACGCTCTGAAATATTTTGTTTATTTCTAAAAACCAACCCTCCCATGTGCGTGTGCTCGTCCCCTCCCGATATAGTGTTGGACCCAAGTGGGCACGCAGGTTGGGGATGGTGGGGGAGCCGGAAGTGCCGTCCCCGGGCCTACGACGAGGGCGGAGACAGTGCCGGGGATGGGGAGGGGAAGGGCTATAGTGCCAAACGTCAAGACCCAGCCTCCACCTGAGCCAGCTGGCGCGTGCAACAACTACACTAACGTGGCGGGAGATGGTGTCAGTAGTGGAGAGTGCGCGGCGCTGGGAGGTTCATCTGTACGGCTCCTGCAGGTATACTAACAATTAAGCCTCCACACATGCATCAAGTTCTTCCTAGTGCTTGCCACTTTAAGGTGAGCCTTCTTCACTTTCTTACAGCAGCCTTTTATTACTTATAATATCACTTTCCTAATAAAGTGAACATTAACTGTAATTTTTGATTGGAATTTTTTTTTTCGAAAATGGACAGGAATCTTATTTTAAGTTCACAGAATATACAAATACGTTATTTGCCTCCTACACTCCAAGTTCTTGTGAAGTACTGGAACGTTATTATGGTGAGCTCCCTTGGCAACGTTGCTCTGACACATCCCCTTGACAACGTTGCTCTGGCACATCCCCTTGGCAACGTTGCTCTGGCACATCCCCTTGGCAACGTTGCTCTGGCACATCCCCTTGACAACGTTGCTCTGGCACATCCCCTTGGCAACGTTGCTCTGGCACATCCCCTTGGCAACGTTGCCCTGGCACGTCTTGACAACGTTGGTCTGGCGTGTCCCTATGGCAACGCTCCCCTTGGGAACGTTGCCATAGAGTGTCCCCGTGGCAAAGTTGCCTCTGGCGTATCCCAATAACATCACCGTCTTCAGAGTTTTCCCGCGCACTTTTACCCCTAATGCGGTATGTGTAACGTGTTAATCTAGAGACACGGGCCAGGTGCTTGGGTGAGGAACCTTCCTACTTTGTTAAGTAATTTTTCAGGTTTTGCTTAAGAGAGTGTGCTGTTAAGTTCGTTAATAATATCGTGGGCAAACTATTTTGCTTAAGTTCAGTTACTGTTTCCCTCGATGCAACAAAATTAGGCCTTGAGAGAATTTCATCATTTGAGGCTTTAGAATTCATTACAATATTTCCTTGCTCTTTCAGTTTACGATCATCAACATATTGATTCTGACTACTTGTCAACTGTATATTTCTGTTTTATATACAAAAAAGTTGGCATTGAAAAGTTGGTAGATAATAATATATAAAAAAATACAGTACATGTTAGGCCCAGGCCCCCCCCCCACACAGGGGTCGAATTACTGACCCGGCCCAGGATATAACCCCACAGCAAGCTGAATAACTCCTTAGTACCTACTTACTACCAGGTGAACAGAGGCATTAGGTTAAAAGAAATGTGCCCAACCATTTCTGTCCCGCCTGGGATGTGTATGGCATATTAAACCCATTTCACTTTTCCAGTGCTCCTACATAAACAAACGTTGGGGGATTCTTAATCATACAGTACATATGAATTAAAAAATGCTGTAAATCTCCTAATTTGTGTTTGTGGTGATATTTCCTTGTTTTGTGTCTGATATTTTAATCCCCCAATTATCTCGGTTTAAATATCATCTAAGAAAGCAATGTTTTTGGATCGGTTTAGACTGGTTTCGGTTGTGCAATATCCAAATAAACTTAGAGAGAGATATCTTTGTGGGAACCGACCTGTGAGATTTATATTTATTTAATTTATATGAATTTATATTTACGTTAATTTATATACTTCGATAGCAATTTGTATAATGATAAGTGGACTGTATTTCTGCAATAATCTCATAATCTCACAAATCGATCCTCTACACATTAGGGGGGGTTTAATAGTTTATATATATATGCAGCCAATCAAACTACAAAATTAACTACATACATTGAAGAGGTTCCTTATCTTATAGTACAGCAGGTTAGTCCACCAGGTATAACTAGGGTGTAGACACCTAATTATCCTCTTTGAGGTAGCTTCCATATCACCCAGTAACTGGTGCACAAATCTTGCATCCTCGACTTGACCTGTCAAAAGTGCGCTAGCTGTGAAGCCAGAATCCTATATATGACAAGCTATATCAGAGAAAACAGTACATGGAACATGAAGACCTGGCTTAATTACCTTTAGTTTGAGGCTTCCATGTGATCTAACCGGGTCACCCTATATAATGACATTAATGGCCACTAATGATAAATAATGGGTTTCGGAAAGAACACTTAACTTGATTTGTTGACAGCGTGTTGACAGATGGTACACCTTTGGTATCCATAACACTACGTCCAAGTAAAATTAACAGGAGCCGAATTTGCTCCCGTGTGAGCCTCTGGTCTCGTATAACAATAATGGCTGCCCTCCTTCCCCACTCTGACGCCTGGCCTACTTTGTCCAGATTTCAGAAAGTGATAGAAGGGTCACATTTACTCTACTTTAATATTGATAATTAAGTTAATTTATATAAGATGTTTTTATGATGGTAAAGTCCAAAGACTAATGTATTTAAGAATAATTCCCAGCAGAATAGGTGGTGAATTATAATAGTATGTGGTGATGATATCCCGTTTTCTATAGACGGTAATTCCACTACAAGTTACGTTTTCTATGGGTAACTTGTTGGTAATACAGTTATTATCTGTCTGTATGATATATTAAATGGTGTCGGATTTTCCGACATAATTCCCCAGGGGGCTGCTCACGGGTCGAAGTCCTATTTAGAACAGACGAACACCGATACTCCTCCTTCGAATTATTACATTAATTTGATGTTAGTAGTTAGTAATCACACATTTGTGTGTCTGTTCGTACAGGACGGATGTCCCGTACTAGAGTTGCAGGGGTTAGAAGTCTAATGCGATTTCATTTCCCTGTCAACTCTTGAAAGGCTAATATTCAAGCCTTATTACATATTATTTAACCCAGAAGACTGAATGTGATCAAGTACTACAGTCAAGTATGATTCAGGGACTGCAGTGAGATCAGTGACATTAGATATAACTTGAAGTTTCTTCAGGTAACTGGTCACTGATATATAAACACTGAGGCCCATGGAATACATCTTGATTAAATAATAAATGTATCAAATCAGTCATCAGATTTATTGGGGTTTAATTTAGTTAATTGATTCAGAAGATTGAATAGCTCATCATTAAAGTAAAGTATGGTTCTGAGACTGCAGTGGGTTCAGTGACATTGGTCGCAGTGACTTGTAGCTGTTTTAGGCTACTGTTCACTGATTTGCCACTGAGGCCTCATGAACTCATCTTCAGCTTTAAATGATGATACTAACATCAACCTCTGTTGGTATAGTCAGCTGTAATCTCCTTAGTATAATGCTACTGGAGAAATATAATCAGCTGACAAATTTAGATTTCTACTGGTATTGTTTATCTGCAGGCATAGGTCTCCTCAGGCTTGATACTGGGCCTGAGAGTAATTTACCTCCTGCAGAGTTTAACATGGTTATACCCTGATATTTAGTAGGGCTACCGATGAATTGATGGTAGTAGTCTGTCCCCACAAGGACAGCCATTTGGCATTTGATTTGCTCAAATTTACCTGCAGCTGCTTGATAATAGCTTTCCAGGTCAGCATAATCAACTTGAGATTGTTGTGACAAATCTTCACATTTCTTGATCTGTCTTGTTAAGTGGCCTTTAAGACCTGCAAGGGTTCTTTTCATTCTCCCTGCATTATCCATACTGGCTAGTTGGTGAAGCCTTGTGGGACTTGTACTTGGGCTGCTCATAATACTGAACAAGCACTAATGGTAGCCTAGGGTAAATTCTGAACTCACTAGGCAATAATCCTACCTCTACTAGAGGTTAGCACTTAAAATTAATACACATTATATATATACAATCATCCACACTAATGATTTGAGTGATAAACCAGTGTCACTGGAAGTACCTTTAGGTTAGCTCTTCTATATCACCCTAGGATGGTAGAGACACTAATTAATCACTCAAAGGTGTAATGATCATAAGTAAATTATTATATATACAACTCAACTCGAGTTGATAAAAATTACACCCAAAATAGGGTCTGCACCATTCATTAATGGTGTTAGGTTATTCAATATAGTACAACTGACTATGGTAATAATGGGACTAGGATGAACGATAATAGTTCAACTAGTCATATCCTACCCTGTTGTGGGTTGGCAATTAGTAAATATTATACTGTGATCACTAGTGCAATATATATTAAATAATTCTCTATTTTGGAGAAATAATATACACAATTATTGATAATAGCCTCTTAATTAGCCTCTATGAAACTTCTAATATTATCTAGAAGTATTAAATATTATTAGTGACCTCGCGAAATAAACTCCACAAAATTCGTAGATAATCTCTCGCGAAATGTAACACCACGAAATCCGTGAACAATCTCGCGAAGACACAGTCACTAATTGGCTGGCTTCTATATTAGCGCTGTCATTTCACGAAATAACACGCCACCAAATATCTGTGGGTGTGCATGAAACCGCTGACGAAGCTGAACTGGGCTGAGGGAGGCTCCTGAGCTCCCACGAGGCTTCGCCGCTGTCTTTGACTGGCTGGCCTTTGTTTAAATAACACTGCACTAGTATATTTAATGAATCCACTGGTTAACTGGTTCATCTGGTACTAAGATGACCAAATGTGGGTTCAAAGGACCGAATATTCCGTCATCCGGTTCGAAGATGACCAAATAATGTGGGAACCGACCTGTGAGATTTATATTTATTTAATTTATATGAATTTATATTTACGTTAATTTATATACTTCGATAGCAATTTGTATAATGATAAGTGGACTGTATTTCTGCAATAATCTCATAATCTCACAAATCGATCCTCTACACATTAGGGGGGGTTTAATAGTTTATATATATATGCAGCCAATCAAACTACAAAATTAACTACATACATTGAAGAGGTTCCTTATCTTATAGTACAGCAGGTTAGTCCACCAGGTATAACTAGGGTGTAGACACCTAATTATCCTCTTTGAGGTAGCTTCCATATCACCCAGTAACTGGTGCACAAATCTTGCATCCTCGACTTGACCTGTCAAAAGTGCGCTAGCTGTGAAGCCAGAATCCTATATATGACAAGCTATATCAGAGAAAACAGTACATGGAACATGAAGACCTGGCTTAATTACCTTTAGTTTGAGGCTTCCATGTGATCTAACCGGGTCACCCTATATAATGACATTAATGGCCACTAATGATAAATAATGGGTTTCGGAAAGAACACTTAACTTGATTTGTTGACAGCGTGTTGACAGATGGTACACCTTTGGTATCCATAACACTACGTCCAAGTAAAATTAACAGGAGCC